TCTCTCTCTCTCTCTCTCTCTCTCTCTCTCTCTCTCTCTTCTCTCTCTCTCTCACCCATTGCACCCATTCAGCCCCCACCCTCTTTCTCCTCTTCTTCCTCCTCTTTACTTTCCCTCCTATCTCCTCTCCTCTTTCGCCCTTTCTACAGCATTCTCTCCTCTTTCACATTTTCCTCTCTCATGCACCATGTCCTCTCCTATCATCTTTCTGGTGTCCTTTCATCTATTCCTTCTCCTCTTCTCTCTCACGTCCTCTCCTCTCCCTTCTCGAACATTTTCTCCGGTTTTATCTCTTTCTTTTTCTCAGTTTCAGTCATCCCTTCCTTCCTATCTTCTCTCTCCTCTCTTCTCTCATTTCAGCCCTCCTCTCCCTTCTCCTCTCCCTCCTCTCTTCTCCTCTACATTATCCTCCCCTTCCTCTCTTTTTCTCGCTCATCCCTCTCCTCTCCTCTCTTCTCTCCCATTATCTTCCCCTTTTCCTCTCCTTCAACATCCTCTCCTCTCCTCTCTTCTCACTACATTATCTCCCTTCCTTTCTTTTCTCCAAAAACCCTCTCATCTCATCTATTTTCTCCCCATCCTCCTCCCTTTCCTCTCCCTTCAACATCCTCTCCTCTCCTCTCTTCTCACTACATTATCCTCCCTTCCTCTCTTTTTTCTGTCCAACACTCTCTCTCTCTCCTCTCTTTTTCCCTCTCCCTCCTCTCTTCTCATCCTCCTTATCTTTCTCTCCTCATTATCCTCTTTCCTCTCTTTTTTCTCCAACACCCTCTCCTCTCTCTCTTTTCTCCCCATCTCTCCCTCTTCAACATCCTCTCTCTCCTCTCTCCTCTCTCCAACAGCCTCTCCACACCACTCTTCTATCTCCCACATCCTCTTCTCTCCCTTCTCTCTCTATCATCCTCCCATCTCCTCTGCTCTCTCTTCTCTCTCTAGCATCCTCTCCTCTTTCTGCTCTCTCTCTCCCTCTCCTCTAGCATCCACTCCTCTCATTCTCTCTCTCTCTCTCTCTAGCATCCTCTCTTCTCCTCTCCTCTGTTCTGCTCTCTCTCTCTTTAGCATCCTCTCCTCTCCTCTCTCTCTCCCTCTAGCATCCTCCTCTCTCCTCTGCTCTCTCTCTCTCTCTAGCATCCTATCCTATCTATCCTCTCCCCTCCTCTCCTCTCCTCCCCTCTCCACTGCTCTCCATCTCTCTCTCTATCATCCACTCCTCTCCTCTCCTCTCCTCTCCTCTCTCTCTCTCTAGCATCCTCCTCTCTGGTGATCTCTATCCTCAAAGCCATGTTGCCACACTCTCATCTGTGTTAATTCTTTAAGTAGTTCTGCCGTATGTCTATTGCCGTAATTACTCCATTTGATATGCTTTGAAGTTGCATCTGTTTCATTGGCTGTTTTAAGCGGCTTTGTGGCATTAGGTGCCTCTCGCTGTCTCTCTCTCTCTCTCGCTGTCTCCTCTCTTCGTCTCTCTCTCTCTCTCCTCTCTCTCCTCTCTCTCTCATCTCTCTCTCTCTCTCTCTCTCTCTCTCTCTCTCTCTCTCTCTCTCTCTCTCTCTCTCTCTCTCTCTCTCTCCCTCTCTCTCTCTATCAATCAATTCCCACTCTCTATTCTTTCTCTCTATCTATTCATCTCTCCAATTCTCTCTGTAGTTCCGCTCTCTGATGTCTCTCTCTCTCTCCCTCTCTCTCTCTGTCTGTCTCTCTATCTCTCTCTATTTCTTTCTCTCTTGCTCTGCCTCACTCCACCCATCTACGCCTACAGTAAAGCATACCCATCCGTCTATCTACCCATCTATTTGTCCATCCTCTTATCCCTCGTTTTCCATCTTATCTCTCTCGCTTTATCGGTCCCAGATCTTATCCATAAATCGCTGGCTTCGCTGGCTTCAATTTTGCTCAGGTCATTGGCAATAGATTCCCCTTCCCTTTAAGTTTCGAATAAATTTCAGTTACCTCCCTCCCCCCCCCCTCTCCCTCTCTCTATCCTCCCCCCCCCTTCCTATCCCACATACCCTCCACCCACAACCCGTTCCCCTAACCCCCTCCATCTCCCCCCCCTCTCCCTCTCTCTATCCTCCCCCCACTCCTATCCCACATACCCCCCCCCACAACCCTGTTCCCCTAACCCCCTCCATCTCCCTCCCCCCCCCCCCCCCCCTCTCCCTCTCTCTATCTCCCCCCCCTCCTATCCCACATACCCCCTCCCCACAACCCTCTTAAGTTTCGAATAAATTTCAGTTACCTCCCCCCCCCTTCTCCCTCTCTATCCTCCCCCCCCACTCCTATCCACATACCCCCCCACAACCCTGTTCCCTAACCCCCTCCATCTCCCCCTCCCCCCCCTCTCCCTCTCTCTATCCTCCCCCCCCCTATCCCACATACCCCCCCCCACAACCCTGTTCCCTAACCCCCTCCATCTCCCCCTCCCCCCCCCCCACCCCTCTCGACTTACTCCTCTGAACATAAGAATTTCTTTTGCAACAATAAATCTCTTGCAGTGACTCTCTGTATATCTTCGTAAAAAAACACATTAACTTGAGACGTAATTGCAACCGAATAAGTCTTGCAATAATAAAGCAATGTGCAACTAATTCTGCCATTTGCAATTAACTTCTCTCCTCCCCCCCCCCCTCCATCTACCTACACAAAAACCTTGGAATAACGACTACACACATGCTCACTTACACATGAATTCAGACAGTACATAATTAACGTAACGTACACGCACATACTTGCATGCACATGCACACACACATACAGTACATGCAACATACAGATACACGTACAAAACACACACACATACATATTTACAACATATATACACACATAC